TATATATAATTTTTTTTTTTTGTTCCTTTTCGTCTCGGGGCTTTCAGCTTACGGAACGGGAAAGCATCTGATGCGTCTGCTCACATGCCACTTCTGATCATACGCTGCCTCTGTGCTCAGAGCAGGATCGCGGGGAAAGATGGAGATACAATAAGTTGCGAGTAGTGAAAAGTGCTGCAGAAATCCAGCGGTTTCCTTTTTTTCTCCGCTGAAGTGACATATTTTTTTTTTCCTCGGTTTAAGTTGAAAGCACTGCTCGGCGGAGCCTGGCTGTGGCTGAGAGTGGGTTTGTGTTTTTCTTGCACGGTCAGGTTTTGCGAAGAGCAGCGATGAAGAGGAAGCTGGCACTCTCCGAGATGCAGTTGGTTCTTCTCGTTTTATTGGTGTGGCTACCCACAAGGTGAGAGGATGTTTAATTTTGTTGTTCGGTACAGACGTGTGTATTGCAACCTGCAAATGGTAAGCTTGTGTGAGAGGTTATAGCATACAGTAATGTAATAAAAACCTTTCTTAGCTGTTTGAATGCAGTATTAAATAGTTTCCAGGGCAAATGCAGTAGGAGAGGGTAGTCTAGGGACCATATAAGCCTAATCTCTTGTCCTTAAACAGTTTGTGATTCCATGCTTTGTTTCATCATTAAAAAAATAATAATTCCTTTAAATGCCTTATTGGATCTTAAAGATTTGTTTGGAGTTACCGTATCACTGTGATTCTGTTCCACACAGAACAGTTAAGATGGAGAAATAGATTATTGTGAAGCTGAATAGCAAATCACAGTCTCTAAAATAATTCTTGCATATTTTTTAATAAGGGTATGCCTTTTTTTTGGTGTTTTTTTTTTTTTTTGGTCAACATAACAGAATTCAAAATGATACTTAAGCTTTAAACCTCTAGGTGGAGATAGCATACAACTTCACAATCACATATAATAAAACAATAGCCCCATTTATTAATCAACTTTTTTAATGTTGTTCTAAGTTCTCCATTTCTAAGGCGACAACATAAGAGCCAGCAATTTTAATCCTGTATGAGTTTTGTGTTGCCCACAGTCCCTAAATATGCAATTAATTGTAGTTTGCAACTTTGATTTACTTGCTTTGGTTCTGACTGCAGTAGGTCTTGTCCTAATATGGCAAGAGTTGTAAACTAAATAATGCAGGTTTTGAATGATTTTAAAAGTCCGCATTTGTTTTCTGTCTGTTTTCTAGTGAACAAATTATCTCCTGAAACTATGTTTCCTATTTCACTTTACGCCTAACCATGGTGCAGTATTAGTTGAGTCACAGTGGGCCAGATCCTGCAAGCCCTACTCAAGTGAGTAATCTCACTGACGTCAAAGAGACTACATGCGTAATTAAGGAGTTACGCCTGAGTAAAGTTTGCAGGATTCGACCCTAATTTGATATAATTGTATGAACTAATTTTTTAATGGTATCTTGACTTCAAAAAAAATCAAAAAAATTATCTCAAAAAGATTAAAAAATGGTACAGACTTACAGTATAGAAATACATTCTAAAAATAAAACTCGAACCATCTACTAATTATAACTGAGAAGAACCTTGCACATCAGTCAAATCACACAGGATGTTTTGGTATGTGCTTTAACAGTTATCTGATTTTGTCTGATCCTATGGTTTGTGTAATGGAAAACACAGACTGCAATGATTTACATTTAAATACTTCCCCCATGCTGTTGAATTGAGGACCATCATAAAGTCCTGTATCTAATATTGTAGCTTGCTTTAAAGAAAATGTCACCCAAACATACTTTTGGTTTGGAGGAGGAAGAAAACATGCTTGTTCTTATAGCATAATTAGTCATTCAGGATGTCTTGATTGGTAATTCATTTAGAGATGATAAATACCCAAACATTTCAGGTTAAAAATTTGGATGGCTGAAAAAGGTCTAAATAATAATGCGTGTGGCATATGATGCTTTACTTCTTTGATGCTAATATTTTGGTATTTAGTAGGTGAGACTGATAATTTCACATGCATGGTACTTAAAATTGTTGGCACAGTAACATTTCCATGGGTAAGGCTTTCTGCATGGGAGTGTTTCCCTAGTAGAGAAAACCTTTGGTCTGGGTGCCCAGGTCTGGGAGGAACGCTGAGCACCACAGCTGGCTGGGCAGCAGATTGATGCTTCAGCCCATAGTGTTTTCCCACAGAGATATGACCCATAAAGGCTGTGACATCTCTTTCTTTACCGGGGAAGTTTGAAAGAACTGATAATCTATAGATTCTTCCTGACACCTCATTTATGATTTTTTTTTTCTATCCAACTTCTTCAAGGTTTGTCTGCATCTAGTGGAATATCAGATAGTCCGTTTTTAGAATAAAACAACATTTTTGAAACATGAAGGCTGTCCACGGCTATCCTGCATCTTGCTAGTCAGCAGCGTTGTTCCCACCCACCAAATACTGACATCAGAGGACTCCCTGAGCATGATCGCTGGAGTTTTCCCTCATGTTAGTTCTTCTGGTCATGTACATTACATGACCATTGGGTGGAAGCATATCCACAGGATTTATCCAGAGATAGACTATACACTTAGGTGAGGACAGATAGGATAGAGCTGGAAGGAGACAGTGTGGGGATCAGGGGAACAACCTGGCTTATCGGTCTGGGAGTGACATGCCATTGAGGCCTGGGAAGCTCTTTCAGGCTTCTGTACCTGCACAGCCAAATGTGTTAGTGGAGCTTGCAGTAGCACTCATGGTGGGACGATGTCAATGAGAAGTAGAGGCTGCTGGAAAATGACTACCTGGAAATTTTAAATAGTATACTGTTGGCTCTTATGTATCTGAAAATGTTATATATAAACTGTGTATTCATATACTCTTTAACTACACCTGTCAGAGTGCAGTGAGTTAAATATTCAAGGCCAGCCTGCAAAAACTGCATGTTGAGTGTGCATTAAAACACATCTAGCACTTTCTAAAAATGTAAAATGTCCATTTAGATCAGTGCTGGCTGACTCCCTGGAAGACGAAGCTAAGAATAACATCACCATCTTTACCAGAATCCTAGACAGACTTCTGGATGGTTATGATAATCGTCTCAGACCTGGATTAGGAGGTAATAAAAACAATTAAAGATTGATTTAAAAAAATCAGATTTAATGTTCAGATTTTATGCAGTGATATTCTTCCTCAGGGTTTTTTTTTCTTCCTAACAACTGGTATGTATCTTGATAAATTATTTATAACTCTATATTCACCCAGCTGAATCATTTGAAGTTTGAGGAAGATAACATCTATGAATGGAAAGGAGGCACTTTCACACATTTATCTTAAATAAAAAGAAAAAAAAATCTGGTGATTTAACATCGTAAACCAGAATGAGAACAAAAATAACATCTAAAGCTGTTATTCCAGTCAGGGAATTTTGGTTGGGCAAGGAATGCAGGCTTGATTCCCTGCAATGCGATGAGTGTATGTTTTCAGATATCTGCACAAATGTTTGGTGGGGTGTGTCTAAAATCTGCATTTGAGATTCATTCCTTGTCCCAGTAAATTCAATAAGAATTTTGTATTTTTGACTTATTTGGGATTAGGGTTTCACTGGTATTTAACATTCTGTTTCTGGGAACCTTGCATGTATTTGAGCATTTGAAAAAAACCCAAAAAAAAGGGAACGTTGGTGGACAGAGGTCACTGCACTCTTGTGCCTTGACTGTCAGTTATTTTTAAATGTGAGTTCACATTTTCATTTTAAAGCTGTATGCCAGCTCATGTAAGTATGGAAACAGGAAATGTAAATGATTTGTTTGGTGTTGGAAGCATTACTGTGCAAAAAGGCTTCTATGGTATGGGGAGGGGCAGAATATCTTGGTCTCGTTATTTTCTCTACTGTCATTGTTTGTTTATGCTATCTAACACGAACATTCATGGATTGAATATAACACTGTTACTATTATTATTTGTAATAGTTTTGGTAATTGTAATTTTCAACCTGAAGACTCTATTAGCATGCTACAACTAACTGTCGTGCAAATTTCCTGGGAGCCATTCCTGTTCCTGTTGATTTCAGTAAGATCAGGCCCAAAGCTGCTGTAGCTTCCATGGAAATTACTCTAACAACTCTGTTTGATCAAACCAGCAATTAGTTAAAGCTCACAGGTTTTAGACAACACTCTTCCGTCCTGACCTGTGGCTCTGCTGCTGCTCTGGTTCTGGGGAATCTTGTCTTGCATCTGACACAGCATAAAGTGGGAGCTGGTGTTGGCTGACAACATTTCTCTTGTTATACGTTAGTCTTAAACCGGGGTATCTTTTAATTTCCATTTCTGGCCTCTGTACAGTGGACACTTGTGAAATAGTTGATATTTAAAGACTTTTTATTTAGATGACCCACAAAAGGAGACCTGCAGCACTGTTGATATTTACATAAGGATCTATAAGAATATAAAATTATATAATATATATACTCTTTATATAAGAATATTTATGTAAGGATGTCTTATATGGAGATTCGATTTCTTGTCAAAATAAACAAATTTATGAATTTAGAAATAGCATAAACTTCCAGTGCCTTGCAGGTGACTTGCAGAAACATCTCATCCCAGAAACATCATGTTTAATTGGCAGGGCTTTTAAAACCATGGCTTTTATTAGAAAAATAATGAAAAATTATTCTCTTGCTTACAAAAAGGAATGTGCCATTTCATGAGAGCCGCCTGTAGTTCCTTTGCATATCATGGATTCTTTTTAATATTAACATTTCTATTGTTGAAAAGATGAATTTTAAAAATTATTTTTCTAATGTATTTTTATTTTGGATTTTCCATTAAATGTACTTCATAATATTTCCCTCTTTTTCTTTGCTAAGCCTCCTATGTAATTAAAATATACTTTGGGAGCATAAAAATTAAAGAATTAACATCTGTTTGATATTGGCATACATGGCAATCAACCCATGCAGAACATGTGTGAAATGAAACTGTGTCATGCATATTAAAGCGTGGTGATTCATGACGCATTAATGTTAATCTGCAAGAACACTTCAGTTGCGGATGGACAGATTTTTATAGTTTAAAAGAACGCTTGTAAAAGGCAGTTGTGATAATTCATTATATGAAATATACCAAACAATGCTTTTGTACATAGTTCTTAGTAATTACAGAGTTTCATATTTCAGGAATTTTGCAGCATTTTGTTCCTTTTTCTCTATTAACCTTTAGTCTGAAAAAAAAAATGGGAATAATTAATCTTTTTAAATTTTTTTTAAATACTATGTGGCTAGTGAGTCCTGATGGTTTCTAAAAGTGTTTTTGCATAGACCACTGCATTTTGACCATGCCACATGTCGTTAATTTAATATACTTAGCCTGAGTTCTGTTCCACTTGCATTTATATGAATCTAAAAGAATTCAGTGGAAACTAGTAGAGCATTTACTTTGCCATAGCAGCTTGTATTATCCTGCTACACTACTATGGCTGAGATCACAATCTGGCTTAACGTGCTACAGCAGAAATAGACTAGGCTCCGAGATGGATTCTTTTTAAGTCTTCTGAAAGCACGAGTTGTTCACCAGCCCACTTTCACCTGTTGTGAAAGACATTTTCAGAGATGTCTTAGAGCAAAAATACAGCTCATTGTGAACAATTATTCAAATAAAAAATGCTTTTAATAATGAGAAGTGTTAGCTTAACACTGGCATTTTGGTGTTAGTGATCAACACCATGGAAACATGTAGGCTCCTCTGAAGACTGTAGATAAATTCAACTAGGTAATTGTCTGGGAATTTGTTCTTGAAATTAGGGACAGATTTGTAATTAATTTTACTGGGAGACTTGATGCAGTGCTTATGGAATATAACTTCATGCTTACTGGTACATCAATGCACTTCAGAACTGAGTACTATTTTCTATAGACTGCTAAAGGTAGCTTTAACATTTACTGGTGAGGCAGCTCTGTTGTATGGCTGCTGGCTATTGGCTGTCCTAGCAGTTGGGGTCCTTGAATGTTGTATGAAGAATATAGTGATGCAGTGGCCTGCAAAATGGGTGTGGACAGGGAAAAGAAGACACTGCACTATCCCCTAAAGACAGAGACATCTCATATGACTTAGATAATACCCCAACCTACTGTGTTGATATGGATATGCATGAGGGTATTCAAAGGGAGCTAAATTTTTTTCTCTACTCATTTTATGCTAAGAACAGGATTGCAGCTGGAACACTCTTGATTGCACTTTCAGTGCTGACATGGACTATTTAACCCAAACATTCCATGCCATTTTTGTTTAGACATCAAAATAAATTACAAGTTCGGTTTCAAAACCTATTCCCTACGTCATTAGCAATAATTTGTATGAAATACAGCCATGCAAATGACAAATGATAGAGAGTTTGATTGTTTATGATTTTCTTCAAAATCATGAATGTATTTTCTTCTATTTATTTGCTGTAAAGGTTGCAAGACACTTAGGGTAGCACTTTTCCATAAATCCTTTGATTTTTATGAGCATGTAGAAAAAGATATCCACAAAACAAGTGACACTAAGACTAATCAAGAGACCAAAAGAGAAATCAGATCTTCAAATAATGAGACAACAGAATGTTGAAGCTGAGATACACCTGCATTCAGTTTTGGAAGTGACTGAATTATCTGTCTTCTCTGTCTGCTTTCCTCTGCCCCATGGACAGCCATGATTAAAGAAAAAAGGGACATAGATTAAGGCAATCCTCTCTGTTAGTATGTTGATGTTCTTGTGTATTAGATGTATTAGCAAAAACATACTTTTTTTTTTTTATAAATGGTAGCTTTTCTTTAAAGATGAAAAACATGGAAAGAAGGGAGGAGAAATAGGAATTATGCTATGTTTTTGATATCATAGAATCTTGTAGGTTGGAAGAGTCCTTTGAGATCATCAAGTCCAACCATTAGCCTAACACTGCTAATACCACCACTAAACCATGTCCTTCAGCACCTCATACACACATCCCTTCAACACCTCCAGAGATGGTGACCCAACCACCTCCCTGGGCAGCCTGTTCCAATGCCTGACAACCCGTTCAGGGAAGAAAGTTTTCCTAATATCGAATCTTAACTTCCTTGGTGCAACTTGAGGCAATTTCCTCTTGTCTTGTCACTTGTTGCTTGGGAGAACAGACCAACACCCACCTCTCTGCAATCTCCTTTTAGGTAGCTGTAGAGACTGATAAGGCCTCCCCTTACCCAAGTATCATGTTGGATATTTCAGTAGTCTTGCCATCTTCATAAGCTATTCAGCCTGCTGAATATACAATTTGAGCATCTTTCCACAAAGTTTGGTCAGTCTCATCAGCTTCAGGAATGATATTCTTATTGTAACCAAAGAGGTGAATGTTGGTTATTAAAAAAAAAAAACCTCATGAAGATCAGACAGTAGGTAGGTGAAAACTAAATGTCACTGTAGTTCTATTTTAAAGGATCCGTTTCTACTGCAGGGTGACTTTCAGATGTTCGGATTGCTTTAAACAATCTCCATTGCATTTAACTGATAGAAATACCAAAACCTTTTTTTCCACAACTTTTTGCATGTAAATTGAGAAGGAAAGCTGAAGAGAACTGGGAAGGATTACTGCTGATTATTGCTATTGGAGAAGATGGTGAGCAGTGAGCGTTTGTGGGTATAATCATTCATCTTTGCAGCACTGCCTATGTCATTGCATAAAATTGGTGTAGTAGCGTAAAGTATCAGCCTCTGTGATTAGAAGTTATAGGATGTGCTCATCAATATAAGCTAAAAGGGAAAAAACATTTTTCACAGAAAACCTTCCTCTCTGCCCCACCCTCCCCACCCCAGATCAGGAGAACTACATATATATGTGTGTGTGTGTGTTAATGAAAAAGTTGTAGGTCTTCCATTGCCAGGAAACAAGGCCATGATTATATGCTGATAATCTAGAATATGTTAAATTTAAGGCAGTATATTTATCTCTGTGATTCAGAGTTTTTGATCAGCTTTAGAAGAATTTGTACTGGTAGCAGTTCCCTAACTGGGCATCGAAAATTTAGCAGTTTGTCAGCCTCATCAAGCTTAACAGGCATTCAGAGAATGCCAAAAGAAGGTCCTTTAAATATTTTTGCTG